TGGCGGTCAGTTTCAGCAGCGGCTGAATCTGGACGCCAGTTCTGACTTACATACAGATTCAACTTAAGAACAAACCTACAGTCCCTATCTTGTACGTAACCCGGGGACTGCCTGTATTAGGTTGCATTAAGAGGAGCGTGGCCAGCAGATCCAGAGAAGTGATTATTCCCCTTTACTCGGCTCTAGTGAGACCACATCTGGAGTACTGTGTCCAGTTCTAGGCCCCCAACTACAGGAAGAATGTGGAGGTATTGGAGAGGGTCCAGCGGAGGGTGACTAAAATGATTAGGGGGCTGGAGCATATGACCTATGAGGAGAGGGTGAGGGATTTGGGTTTGTTTAGTCTGCAGAAGAGAAGAGTGAGGGGGGATTTGATAGCAGCCTTTAACTTCCTGAAAGAAGGTTTCAAAGAGGCTGGAGAAAGGCCGTTCAAGGTAGTGATGGATGGCAGAACAAGGGGCAATGGTTTCAAGTTACAGTGGGAGAGGTCTAGGTTGGATATTAGGAAAAACTATTTCACTCAGAGGGTGGTGAAGCACTGGAATGGATTACCTAGGGAAATGGTGGAATCTCCATCCCTAGAGGTTTTTAAGTCTCGGCTTGACAAAGCTCTGGCTGGGTTGATTTAGTTAAGATTGGTCCTGCCTTGGGCAGGGGGCTGGACTCGATCTCCTGAGGTCTCTTCCAGAGCTATGATTCTACAAACTTTTCCATCTGAGATTTCTTTTCCTAGCTAGATTTCTCATTATTTGGTAAAATTACGTCTTCTCTACAAAAATGAAAAATTAATACGAGTCAGTCATGATTCATAATCAGTCCAAAACTGTAAATATATGTACAGAAGTAAATTGTCTCCAAGGTGCCACAAGATTCCTCATTGTTTTTGTCTCCAAGGGTAATTACTTGTGACAAATTTATTTGCATACAGATTTTCAGGATTAAAATCATGTATTGCTTTTTGGGAATTTTACCAAAACTGTTCCAAACAAAGGGCCAAATTCACTCAATGGATATGCACCTGCAACTCACATATTTGCAACTCTGAGTTTAACAGATCTTAGTATCTGAAATACGTTTGATGGACTGCCAGGGTAACACGCCCTGATCATGCCAAAACATACATAACTTTACATGAACAACACCATAAGAAATTTCAGTGAGACTTCTTATGTATGTGACGTTAAGCAGTCACAAACATATTAGCAGAATCAAGGCCTCAGACCTCAACCTAGCATTATCATTTATTGAAAATAGCAGGATTATGTCACTGTGGTGTCATAATGTAAATACCTGTAAGCCAGCTGTCTGAAAGGATGGAGCAGTGGGTGGAAGACTTGGCAGCTAGGGTACCTGACAGCAACAGCAGACAGAGTTACAGTGAGAGATACCACAGCAACAGTCCGGGCCAGGCAGCACCTTGCCATCACATGCAGGATGTTCACAGGTCACTACGCCTCCCCAGAATGCAGTGCCCAAGAGCCATGCAGTGACCAGGACTGTCTGGAGATGAAGTAGGAAACATCTGATTGTAGGATGTGTCCGTCTTGTCCACCTTATTCCCTACAAGGAACAGCCATATTAATTTATTCAATATCTTATGTTGAATTCTTTTTTTTGGTGGGGCCGCCTCCCCTCTTTTCCCCTCATTTGCCTCACACTGCTGCCTCTATTTTTAAACCGGCTCCCCTCTGATAGAGAGGCAGCAGCATGGAATGGCAGTGGGCTCCCTGGGAGTGGGAATGGGAATGCCACTGGCTAATGGCCCTGTTTCAAGGGACTAATAAATAGTCATGTAACTACTGTTATTTCATGTGGTTACATGATTATTCAATTACATGCTATCTAACATTCCCAACATATATCAATATAGTTGAACATTTTTTTTTAAATGCCATCCTTTATTATGCAAAATTTTACACAAAATTAAATCAGTTGCCTTAAGTGTAGGTCAAATATTTTCAATTGCAAACTATCCAATATTTTCAATAAAGTTTAAAGTTTGATTTTTAAAAGTTACCAGAGAGCGTTGCAGTTTTCTGTTACATTGATTTACTTCTTAAATAGCAAAAATGGAGTCTTTGTTAAGAAAGTGTCAGTTCTGTGGTCAAATTCCAGTCCTTAGTGATTTCAGCACCAATGATTTCACTAGGTAATATGGTACCTCCCCACCATTGCCTCCTTTGCACTGCCCTTCAACACATATTGCCTGCACGTTGAGTCCAAGGTCAGTCTAGACAAGATTTTATCAATGATTTTTGCTCAAGCGATCACTGAGACAAGACAAGGTCTCTCAATTGATTCTAGTCAGCTCTGCCTTTAAACACTGGGGCTGTGTCTACATTGGCACCCCTTTCCGGAAAAGGGATGCTAATGTAGACTTTGGAATAGGCAAATCCGCGGGGGATTTAAATATCCCCGCGGTATTTGCATTAACATGGCTGCCGCTTTTTTCCGGCTTGGAGATAAGCTGAAGAAAAGCGCCAGTCTAGATGTGATTCTCCGGAAAATAAAGCCTTTTCCAGAGGATCTCTTATTCCTACTTGAATAAGAATAAGAAAGGACTCCCAAATAGACTCTACACCACCAGTCCATCTTCTGTGACTTTCAGTTAGATGTGACTCACTATCCTCTGCTTAGTGTTCAAGTTATGGTAGACACTAAGCCAGGTCATATTAAGTTCAAGTCTTTTACCTTTTAATCATACAATATGGATAATAACATTTCATTCTCCCAGCTCCAAGTCTTAAGTGAATTTCAACCCAAAAGAGCCAAAATTGATCACCTTGACACAACAAGTGTGTCTACTGATCTCTGTGGCAAAGTAGGTATGTCTATATAAATAAGGTCTGCTCATGAAGCCTTTTCCTACAGTTGATTAACAGATGGCAGTAGATAGCTCATTCAAACCACTGGCTGATAAAGTTAGTCACTCTGACCAGTCATTAACCATAGGCACGGACTCACCCTACTCTCCATTGTCTATGATTCTCTGATGACCTGTGACAAAAAAGGAGGGTGGAAAAGGAAACTGTAGGGAGAGACCTCTCTAAATTCACCAATCAAAGAGCAGTATTGCTAACCCAAAAATCACAAGGAACGCCTACACAAAGTTATGAGAATGGTCTCGTGTTCTGACTAGGATACTAATGACTAGATTTTCAAAGACATGTAAAGATCAAATAGATATCTTTGAAGATCTGAGTTGGCAACTTTAGGAGCTTAATTATCTTTGAAAATCTGAGCTTAGATTTCCAAGTTCAATTTTCAAAAGTGACTTTAGTCACTCAAGTGCTTTTGAAAATTTTAATTGGGGGCCTAAAGGGACAAAAATAGACAAAAGGCAGGAGATATGGTATTCCTTTTAAAAACAGCCAAACCTAGCCAGGTATCTGGTGATGCCAATAGTAATGCAGGTAGGGATTTCAAACTGGGACAGAGGAATTTTTATCTTTCCTTCCTTTGTCTGAGACAGTGGTTTCTTCCAAGTAATAGGGAGATGGGAAGGCCCATCTCTCTACAAGACCGACCTCTTATAATGTGTAAGTAGGGCAAAGTTAGTTAGCCCGTCAAGTTTTATTTGTTTTCTGGTTTGGGGATGTGGAAATGATGTCTGTGCTATTAAAAGTGGTTCTCTCTCTTTTGTAACTAAGTTTTGAGCTGATGGGATGGTCCCGCAGGAGTATAGGTGGCTCTTTTTAATCTAGTCACTGGTTCCAACTATGGTTTTGTTTTGCTAATAAAAGTTTGTGTTCTTTTTCTAATTAACCTGGTATTGGTTCATTTCTGTGTCCCGGAAAATCTGTCTGTGGGTATTTGCATGCCTCTGACTAGGAGCAGCTACCACAGACTGCAGCTGTATTTTCCCTTTTCTTTTTAAGTACTTTCGGGGAAAAGAGCTTAGAGTATCCCTGGGGTTGGTTTCAAGTGTCCACCCCTGGCTGTGGGATTAAAAGCACTTGATGGTAGCAGCAGATATTCCCCAAAATCTGGGTATTAGAATTTGGGGGGAAGTTTTTGTACCAAAGCCTGTAGAAATAAGGTTTTGGGGTGCTTTTGCGGGCCCTCACTTCTGCAGTTGTCGTACAAAAGTAGGGAACAACCTTGACAATGTGAAACTGATTGTTCCTTCCTAAGTGGAATAACTTGCATTTGTCCTTATTAAACTTCATCCTATTTACCTCAGACCATTTCTCTAGTTTGTCCAGATCATTTTGAATTATGACCCTATCCACCAAAACAGTTGCAACCCCTCCCAGCTTCGTATCATCTGCAATCTTAAAAAGCTTACAATATTGAACAGAACAGGTCCCAAAACAGACCCCAGCAGAAGTTAATAACTATCATCTGAGAACGGTTATTCAGTCAGTTATTCACCCACCTAATAGTAGCCCCATCTAAGCTGTATTTCCCTAGTTTATTGATAAGAAGATCTTGCAAGACCATTTCAAATGTCTTACTAAAGTCTAGGTACACCACATCCACTGCTTCTCCCTTATCCAGAAGCTCATTATCCCACTGCTCCCATTCACTGGATTCTGGCCAATGGGAGCCAAATGGGAAGCCTCCAAAAAGTACGCCCCTGTAAGGCTATCCCATGGGGCTGCCAATTCATGCTCCTGTCCTCCCACCAACCCCTGCGTGCGGGGTGGTCAATTTATGCTTCCATACCCAATGAGGCTAGAGCAACCCTCCGCTTGCACAGACAGGAGACTGCTGCTAGGTTTACCAGGTACCAGTTAACCTGTACATTACCCAGTAATGGTGATGTTTACCGGGTAACTGATTACCGGTTCACATCCCTAATAGATTTACAGAAACCACATACAAGACTGCTGATGAGGGAGTGTGATGAAGTGGGGATTTTATTCACCTTTTTATGTTGCCTGTGTGTTCTACTGTCCTATAGTATCCCACGTTTGTGCCTCAATTTCCCTGCGAACTTCACCAATACCTAAATCAGGGGTGGCCAGACTGTGGCTCTTGAACCACATGCGACTCTTTGCTCACAGAAATGCGGCTCTCGGGGTTACGGCTCACTTGGAGCCGCATGCCCGCTTTGTGCATGCACCCCAGTTCCTGGGTGGAGAAGTGTGAGGCTGTGGCAGTGGCAGCTCCGGTGAGACCCAGGCATTAGGTTAGAATGGGAGGGGGTTGGGAGTGCCTGGCTCTGGGGGAGGAGGAGGACATTGGGTTAGAGTTTTGCTCACAGAAATGCGGCTCTCGGGGTTACGGCTCACTTGGAGCCGCATGCCCGCTTTGTGCATGCACCCCAGTTCCTGGGTGGAGAAGTGTGAGGCTGTGGCAGTGGCAGCTCCGGTGAGACCCAGGCATTAGGTTAGAATGGGAGGGGGTTGGGAGTGCCTGGCTCTGGGGGAGGAGGAGGACATTGGGTTAGAGTGTATGTCTAGACTACCCTCGTGGAATGAGGCATACCGGGGAGGTCGACAAATGCCTTTGATGTCGACTGCAGAGCATCCAGATTACAGCGCTGAGCCAACAAACAGCTGATCAGCATAGCGTGGCAGCCATTTTAATTTAATGAAGTGGTGATAATTTAAATCGCGGCTTCATTTGGGAATGTCTAATAAACTAATCTACATGGCTCTGGCGACAGAGCCATGTAGTCTAGACATACCCTTTGTGTCTAACTGATTGGCCACCCAGACCTAAATGATTATAGGAATTTTGGGTGTGATAGTCCCTGCGCACACACAATGGCCAGTGCCCTTTTTAACCTGAACCCAGGAGCAGGTGTGACCCATTTTGCCTGGGAAGCAGGAGAAAGGTAGGAGGAAGAACCTGACAGGGTGTGGGGGACTAGGACTAGGTTGCTGAGAGTGCAACAGTCTGCCTGGCTGGGAGCAGGAACTGGCCGCCCACACAAGAGGGGAGAAGCAGGAGCCACACACACACACACACACCCCTATACACAGGGCTCCTCCTTACCCCCATAAGCTTTAACCAGTGAACTGTTTAACCAGGATTTTACATTCCTAGTTTGGGATGTAGGAAAAGAGCCAGGCTCCTAGCTCTGGGCTTCTCTTTCCCAAAAATGGATTGTACTGACTGTTCCTGTTTTCTGTGCTGACAAGTCTTTTCTATGCTGTGTTCCTGTCAGCAAATAAACCCTTTTGTTCTACCTGCTGCCTGAGAGTCACATCTGACTGTGAATGGGGAGTGCAGGGCCCTCCGTCTCCCTCACGCTTTGGTGACAGGGTGTGTGAAAGGGGACAGAGCAGATGCAATAAACAACTTATACATAAATAAAACATCAAATGTATATTTAAATAATTCTTTTGTTCGATACTAGGCTTGAAATAAGTGAATTAATCCTGAGAAAATAACGGTCATTCTACTAGCATTAGATTATTGTATTTGGATACATATACTTAAACAAAACAAAGGAAGCCTCCCACTGAATTAATTTTGAAATTAATTAATTAACATACAGAAGAAAACCACTTTGCTTTCTTGTAGAATACAGATTAAAGCGCCTCAATATGAAAACAAGCTAGGATACCCATACCCCACAAGGTTGGAGCAACCGTTCGCCCGTGCAGGCAGGAGACTGCTCCCAGG